ATATATATGAAGACTACAGGGGGAAAACGACGGTAGTCACAAAAACCTAATTTCGTGATTTTCCTCCTTGTCCTTATCCTGAGCGTCTCGTGACGATGAGTGTTTCCCACAGTCTCGTTTTACAAAGAACGACTGTTGTCCTACGATATCACCACTTTTTAAATAGGCATCCTTTGGAAGAATGACGGTTGTCCATCAACTTTGAGGGAAGAACGACGGTAGTCCAGTGCAGATCATGTGGCAATAATCACATGACAAGCGTAGGCCAATGTCAAACCACATCCTGTGGCTTTGTCATTGGTAACTAAATGGTGGACGTTGATGTGTTGAAAGTGACTGAGAAGCCTAGAAAAAGAGCAATCTCAGTGTGGGGGGATGGGGGGGTCTTTCATTTGTTGGTGAGTGTGTGAGTGGGAGGGGCAGGGGGGTCTTTCATTTGTTTGTGAGTGTGAGTGATCAGTCACATCGATCCCGGGGAAAATTGACGGTAGTCCAGAAGTACCCCGTTAGCTTTGGAAGCACAAATTATGGTACATGTACAAAATGCCATACTGCAGATGTGAAAATGGTTATGTACAAAGGCAAATACGGCTTGTCTTTGGTAATCTTAAAAGAAAATTAAGAGTTTGCCTTTAATAGGAAAAGAGTAACATTCACTTTTCCCAAAATAGGAAAAGTGTGACTACGGTCGTTTTCAGTACTAGTAGAGGTTTTACGGCGCTCGCAACTGCATAAGGTCATATGAGCGCCAGAAGATTAGAGGTGTTACAAGAGAGTAACGAACATGAAAAAGAAGAAGGGGAGATAAGGACTGTTTGATAGGAAAGAAGAAGCAGCAAACCACACCAGAGCACCCGCCAACCATGACCCACACGGTCATTTTTCCCTGCAGTCTTCATATAATAATATAACGAGACACGTAAAAAGACATTTGAGTATTATAGAGAGATATGAAAAGAGAGAGCAAAATTTGGGAGACAGAGAAAGAGATATATAGAGAGTGAGAGAGTAAGAGAAAGAGAGAGAGAGAGAGAGAGAGAGAGAGAGAGAGAGAGAGAGAGAGAGAGATTGTTTGTTTGTTTTTGTAAAGTGTTTTACGGCGCTCGCAACTGCATAGGTCATATGAGCGCGCGGGACACACCTAATATTTTCAGTTGGTAGGAAATTTTGAATTTTGCCCGGGTGGCGGCCGAAGCCTACTCTTATCGATTTTAGACCACCAAGGGATCTTTAA